ATTTATTTATTATGTATACAACATTCTGCCTCCATGTATGCCCGCACGCCAGAGGAGGGCGCCAGATCTCAATACAGATGGTTGTGAACCACCATGTGGTTGCTGGGAATTGAACTCAGGACCTCTGGAAGAGCAGCCAGTGCTCTTAACCACTGAGCCATCTCTCCAGCCCTATCTCAGGCTTTCTTAAAGTGAGACTTTCATTTACAAAGCAAGTCTGTCCCAGGCATGGTGGAGCATGCCTCTGACCTCAGCACCTACAAGACCAAGGCAGGAGGATTGCTTTGAGTCTGAGACCAGCCTGGACTGCACAGCAAGATTTTTCCTCAAGACAAAACAAAACAGGAAAGTAACACAAATTTATGGTTTAGGTTTAAAGACAGATCCGAAAATGACTACCAACAAGTACTAGGGACTATCTGTATCTTCGCCAAGAGATTCTTACCAGTGTGTGTCTTCATGTGTTCGTCAAAGTACTGCTTCATGTTGAAGTCCTTGCCGCACCACTGGCACATGAACTGTTTGTGCCCAATGTGGATGCTCATGTGCGAGCGGAGCTGGTACTTGTACTGGAACCTCTCGTCGCAGTTCTGCATTGGACACAGGGGATAGTGCTGGATGCCAAGCACTCACAGGCTTATAGGTTTATTTTCATACTCAAAACACAAGCTGCTTATGGCAGCTGTTTGGATTTGCTATGTTCCCATAGCTGAGTTATGAATACAAGGGAAATTTTTTCATGTAATTATCACTGGCTCATATTCTACTTCTCTGAATCACTGAGAAAGAAAAGTCAGTGACTGCATATTCCTCCCAAGCTAACCTAACACACTCAACTGTGTGCTAATGGGACGTTTCTCTTCCTAGCAGTGAGAGAACAACAGAAACCTGGTGCACGCCCTAGGCTTCAGTGCACACAGCCTTGTGCTTTGCACCCCACACTCCATTCTCGCTGCTGCAGCATCTACACAACCCTAGCTTTGGATCTGTGTGTGGCTTGTTCCTTACCTCACACCGGAAGGGTTTCTCTCCAGAGTGCTGCAAGGAGTGCACCTTCAGTGACATGCTGCGCTTGAAAGACTTTCCACAGGTTTCACATGTAAATGGCATGTCTTTTGTGTGTGCTGTAACACAGAAAGCATTTAAACTCAAAACAATTCTACCAGAAGACCCAGCCTGGAAGAGACAGATGTCATAGGCACGGCACGTTAGCAGCAGTGCTCCAGAGGGAAAATAACAGCGACGCTGGAGAGAATCTGGTGGGAAGACTGCACTATCCAACTCGGTGATGCTGATGATGCGCTGTATTTAGTCTCAACACGTTAAAACTGATTGCAGGACGGTGGCTCTACTTAGTCTGCCCAATGTGGAGCAGACAGAATACCAGAGACCGCCACAGGCAGACAGCAGAGGGGCAGACAGACTTACCGACCATGTGTTTCCGCACGTGAGCCATGGTATAGAACTTCTTCTCACAAATCTCACAGGCAAATTTTTTTTCTGCATACCCATGGACAATCTTGATATGTTCATGAAGGGACCAGAGTTTCTTGAAGGACTTGTTACAGGAAACACACTGAGCAGGATAAACAGAAAGAGTCTTCATTTATCAAACTTCAGGAGGCCATTGTGCCTCCTGGCAGATGAAATGGATTTACTTTAGATGCATAGTGCAAGGTCAGAATCTTGATAAAACCTATTCCTCCATGAAGTCCATATTTTAACACCAACAACTGTATGTTCTATTTTCCAAAATCTATTTTTATATACCTTGGGAGCATGCAAACAATGGCAGAATCTAAGGTAAGAAGTAGAAAGTTCCACTAATGACAAAGAACCAATTATTACAACTTCAGTGTTACACTTATAATTGTTTGGTGTTTTTACACACACGCGCGCACACACACATACACACACACACACACTTGCTGTTTATTTTGAGGTAGAGTGTCTTACTGTATAGCCCACAGTGGCCTCAAACTTACTATCTGGCCAAGGCCAGCCTCAAATCATGATCCTGCCTCTATCTCTCAGGTACAGGGAGCATAAGTATATGCCAGCATATCTGTTAGACCTTCAGGCTTGTTTATGGCATAGACCAGCAAACACAGTTACTGTCTCCTACCCAGGGTGCCATGCAGTTAAGAGGTGTTTACCAGAGAAATAAGTTAAGTTTGAAATTAGCACAAATAGTAAAGGTAAGATATCTAAGCATTACAGATCTGAAGACTATAACAAGATCCTTCTGCATTAGAGAACACATTTTGAAAAGTCCTGTAACAAATGCTCAAGGTTTACTAACTTTCCCTAAATCTAATTTACTCTGTTGCCATTTCCCTCTGACAGAAGCTAATACAACCTCTAAACCACTGGCCATTCTCCTGCTCCCCTCGCCCAATCCCAGACCTCCTCCCTTCACAATGCCTGGTTCCTTAGACCATGGCTCCTTAGCACCCTGCACTATCAAGCATAAAGTCAATATCACAAAGTTCATGACAATTGCCAGGCTCTGAGGAATGTGCACAGGGAACTCAGTCACCAAAGCCTCTTGAGTACCACTGCCACTGCAGGGGAGAAGAACCCAAGAGCTCAGAGACAAGGTGCTGGCTGGACACTGCCCTGGGAAAGGACAGGCTACCCTGTGACCTCCTCTTCTGCAAGGGTTAATTTTCCCTTCTTATGAGGTTGCCAGGATTATCAGGCGCTGTATGAAGAAACAGAGTGCAAAATTCCTTAGGAATGCGAAGGGTTTCCTTTCTAAAAAATTCTTTATTTTTATTTATGTATATGAGTGTTTTGTCTGCTGGATGCATGTACACTGCATGTGTGCCTGGTGCCCAAGGACAGAAGAGCGTGTTGGATCCCCTGGAACTGGAGTTTAAAATGGTTATGAGCTGTCACGTGGGTGCTGGGTACAAACTCAGGTCCTCTGAAAGAGCAGACAGTGCTAACTGTTGAGCCATCTCTCCAGTCTAGGAATGTGAAAGGTTTTCATTCAACAGAACCCACACAACGTAAGCACAAGAGTGAACATATCGTAATGAGGAAAAGTACAGGAACTCATAGAAAAGAACTGCTATTTTCTGTAAACTTAAGCAAATTCAAGTGAAAATAAAAAGAACCTACAAAATAAGCAGCTCCTAGAGACAGAAAGGAGGAACGCCTTTTCGGTAAGGAGCCAATATGAAATCCACATTTGACCTCTAGGGGGCAGCACTGCACTATGCTCCATTGGACTGACCCGGCAACAACTGCCTGCCCAGACAACTGCTGGAGAACCCTGAGGAGTCTTCTTTTATTTACCCAGAATGTCTCGATCAAGTCATGATATACAAGTCAAATCAGCAGATTAAAAAAAAAATCTCTTTAAAGGAAGCCACTGATCTGTCATTGATTAAAAACAGTTGTCAAAAAGAAAATTAAAGGTGGTTACCAATATTAGCAGTTCCCAAAACAAAAGTAAAACAATTTATTTTTTAAAAAGTTAGCTTCAAAATGGTAGATTATTATACACATGGAAACATAAGAGACTTACCTTGTATGAATATATATTTATACACCAAACATATGTACAAACCAATAAAGCTGCAATGCCGTCAGCACCTCTTAACCTGTTATATACATATATATACAGTCTTTCCCAGACGCCAGCCTGGTTTGAATACCATGTTTGTCACAGCAACCATACTGTGCAGCACCATTATATAAGCTATTGCCAGGTAAGCAACATTTTCAAACAGCTCAGCCTCTGTTTAAAGTTTGCATATTCCCTTGGGCTTGCCTCTTGACACATTTAGTGTTGCCATTTCTCCACGGGTGAAAGGAAACTCACTGCAGGAGATCTTCCATTTCCACAGGTCTGAGTCGGGGTTTCTGTCCCCATCAGCTGCACTAGACCCTGGCATCCTTTTAAACAGCAAGGAACCTTTCTCTACTCCTGACCTTCACTCAGTATCTCCCACCTTGACAGAAGATGCCAGAATGAATTATCGCCCAGGTCCTACAACAGTGACTCTCAGTGCAAAGTCGGCGCTGACTTTACATACCAGTCAATCATCTACAACAGATCCCCCTTCCAGTGTACCTGGGCTCCCACTAGTCCAGCGTCAGGTAAGCGTAATGCTTTTGAAAGACAGGATTAAGCCTTGGTTTTGAAAAGACCCAAGCAGCAGCGTCTAAACGATAAATTGGTGAAATCGGTCCCTTCAGCCTCTATTGTATTTATTCTCTTGGGCAGACACCAGATGACTCTGAACAGCCAGGTTCTATCCTGGAAAGTTTGCCCTCTCGGTGATGAGACCTACCTGAATGTTTTTTTCACAGTCTGTTTGCTGGTGAAGGGACAGCTCACTTTCCAGGACAAACTTCTTGCCACATTTATCACAGATCTGCATGCGCCTGTGAGTAACGTTCATGTGCTTCTCCAGGTACCAGCGAGTATTAAAGACCCTGGGGCACTTCTCACAGGTCAGAGTCTCTCTCTCTTCACACTTAGCTTTCTGGACAGGAGCTTTGGGCTCCTTGGCAGCCCGCTTCTTCCGCTTGGGTAGCTCTGCACTCTTCCTACGGCCTCGAGTTGTGCGAGGTGCAGGGGAAGTGGCAGCTGCAGCAACAGAGGCAGCTCTTCGGGTTCGCCTTTGTGTAACCCTGACTTTCTCCACTCGCTTCTCCTTTTTCTTCTGCCGTTCGTTCTCTCCGTAGTCATTGCTGTCATCTGTGGCCTCCTCCTCACTTTCTTCCTCTCCTTCCTCGCTGCTTGTCTTAAGAACAGGAGTCTCTTTGGACTGAGAAGAGACACCCTTTTCCCCTTTAGATACATTTAATGTTTGATTATTAAGGTTTACCTCCACTATGATCTGCTCCCTTTTGTAAGAGACTTCTTCCTCCTCTTCCGTGTCATCAGAATTCTCCCGGTCTTCCTTGACAGTGTGCACATCAGACACTGCCCTTGTCTCCCTGAAATATGGCTGCTCCTCGGTCTCGTGGAGATGTGGTTTGCTCATCTTGGTGTCCACTAGCACAGAATAAGGGCTTCCAGACTCCCTTTTGTACACTTTGGTGGACAGGTCGAGCTCCTGGCTGGCACTATGGTAGAAGGCGGGTGGCGCCTGACCGCGACGGCTGTCTTCCTGTGCCATTCCTGCTGCACGCACCGCAGAGTTCTCAGCCAGCTCCTGGCAAGGACTGGCTGGGTAGCTCATTGGGAAGTGGCCCAGTTTATAAAGCAGCTCAGACTATAGAGAACACCTTGAAAACAGGGCAGTTAAGACTGAAATCGTTCTCCATCTACAGAGAACTAACCACTCAAGTGAAAACAAGGAACTCCTGGAGCCTGCGTGCAATTCTTCCAGCGTCACAGCACCAACGTACAAGTCAAACAGGGCTGTTCTTACAGCAAGAGAAGAAAACTCTCCTGATTTTCTTCCGAAGAGAGCTACAAGGGACTTGGAACATCTTACCTACAAAGAGAAAGAAAACGAGGGAAAAGTTATACCATCATTTCCTTCTTAGGTCACGTGTTTCTCACAACATACAAAATTTAAAATCAAACTCCATACACCATGATGTGCTATATTCCTCAAATGGTTTGGGATGGTTATTGTTTTACAGGCTGTGTGAGTTCCTACTTCCAGTCAGAATGTAAATGCTATCAGCCAAGAGCCACATCTGTTAAATTCACCAAGCTACCTTTAGAGCTTACAACAGTGCAGTATATAACATGTATTAGAGAAATAAATCCCTACTAGTGCATGATGTCTGCCATGCTGGAGGCTGCAGGACCTACTGATATTAGTCTAGAGACACAAGAGGCCATGGAGCCACTCAAGAGACTCATGCAGGCAGCTTCCTTCAGCAGCAGCCACCACACGCACCAGAGTGAGAACCCACAAACAATGGAGGCAACATGGGTACTGTGGGCTGTGGAAATAAGGCAGCTAAGTGGCATGATCACAGAAGAAAAATGTCCTGTTCTGCAGTATTATAAACCAAGTGTAACTAGACCTGCCTTCAGGCCAACGGGAGTCAAGCTGAAGCATCCTGACATTTGTTGACGGCTTACTAGATCCTCTCTACAACTGGATGATTTTTCATGTGTCAGTTGCGGAGAAGTCAAAATTCTGAGAATTAGCAACCACCAGGTCGATGTGGTTCTAAGAAAACTAAAACCATCCATAAAAAAAAAATCAGAAGGGCATACAATGTTTGCAACATACCTTGTATTGCTGTGTGGCCAAGCACCCAACAGCTGAGTCAAATGAGTAACACTGAAGAAACAGTCCTGTCTAGCTGACAGAAGGCAGGAAGCCAGTGTTTGCTGAATGCCTTCATGTGGTAGGCACTTGAGATATATTATTATTATTTTGTTTTGTTTTTGAGACAGGGTTTCTCTGTAGCTTGGAGCCTGTCCTGAAACTCTTGTAGACCAGGCTATCCTCGAACTCACAAAGCCTTCCTCTGCCTCCCAAGTGTTGGGATTAAAGGTATGTGCTACCACCTGGTCAAAAATATTGTTATTAATCTACTTCATACCTAGTGTAAAACTTTGGGGTTGATTTTTAATTAATTAAAAATAAGTAAAGCTTATTTTTTTCCTTATTTTAATTGAGACAAGAGTCTCACCTCATAGTCCTGGTTGTCCTGAAACTCATTATGCAGACTAGGCTACTTTGAGCTCAAGTGCCGGGATTAAATGTATGGCCACCATTCCTGGCTTTTTCTTCATAAAACTGGTTCTACTTGCCTTAAATAAATAAAACCTTGCTATGTTGTCTTTTTTTTAATAACCTTAATAAGAAACTGTTCAGTACACTTAATGATATAACTTTAACAATTGTAATGGGAGTCACTCGGCCTCTCTGGCCTGTTCTGCATAAAACAAACCATAATATTAAGGAAGAGAAGGTATGAACAACTATGTTCATAAAGGGAACAAAAAGCAGAGTTAATTTCTAACCTGATTTTGTTACTGTCGATCCAACACTGTACCAACAATCTATATCTTAGTAGTCTACCAATCAAAGCATGGGAGCCAAGCAGCACACTGTAAAAACTGTAAAGCGTGGCTGATTCTCTGGTTTATAAAATAATCATAAGGAATATGCTGGTGGGAATGCAAGCTGGTACAGCCCCTTTGGATGTCAGTGTGGCAATTTCTCAGAAAATTAGGAAACAACCTTCCTCAAGACCCAGTAAATACTACTTTTCGGTACATATCCAAAGGATGCTCAATTGTGCCACAAGGACATTTGCTCAGCTATGTTCAAAGCAGCTGTTTGTCATAGCCAGAACTTGGAAATAACCTAAATGGTCCTCGACCGAAGAATGGATAAGGAAAATGTGGTACATTTACACAATGGAGTACTACACAGCAGAAAAAAAAATAACGACATCTTGAATTTTGCAGGAAAATGGATGGATCTAGAAAACATCATATTAATGAGGTAACCCAGACACAGAAAGACAAGTATCACATGTACTCACTCATAAGTGATTTTTAAACATAAAGCAAAGAAAATCAGCCCACAAATCACAATCCCAGAGAATTTAGACAGCAATGAGGACACTAAGAGAGACATTCAAGAATCTAATCTACATAGGAAGTAGGAAAAGACAAGATCACCTGTGTAATTGGGAGGATGGGGACCATGGGGGAGGGTTGAAGGGGAGGGGAGAGGAAGGGAGGGGAGCGGAGAAAAATGTAGAGCTCAGTAAAAATCAATAAAATAAAAAAATAAAATAAAAAAGGTTGGAAGAAAAAAATAATCATAAGGATTTGTATTTAGGCAAAGCAATTTATCACACACTTGTTGATCACTTAAGTGCTTCCCATCTGCTTGGGAGTTGTAGCAGGCTGGCTGGAAGAGGACAAAGCAGGGTTACTTCCAGTGACTACCTAATGACTTGCAAGCATCAACAGTCTCCACATTTCCACACAAGAACAAAACCAAGTATGTATTACTCATCACACAGCCAGCTTAAGCAATTTTAACTTTCACCAAATAACCCCCTAGGGCCAAAGATGCAATCAAATACTAAGTAAGCTATATTGAAAGATCTACCGAATCCCAATGAGTGTTCAAAGCTTTTTCCATTATTCAGTTCTATCCACAAACATCATCTCTAGGCAGAAATATGTTTTAAACAAAAGGAACTATTTATTTTTAAGGTAAGGAGATTTATGTGCATTACTGAGATAGTTTTTTATCAAAATCTGACAAAGTCGAGGCTCTATTGAAATTCAACACCTCTCAAGAACCAGAAGAAAATGTGGTGTGACTCTGCCGACTCTGCCCACCGCTGCGCCCAGCAGGAAGGGGCAGGAAGACAAGCCCAAAGTCAAAGTCATTTTTACCTATATATCAAGTTTGATGCTGGGGCACTGGGAGGGCTCAGTCTAGCCATGTCCAAGGGTAGTTCTGTAGGATACAATTTCTAATACAGTAGTCTTTAAGGTGGCTAACAAGGGGCTGGAGAGATGGCTCAGCGGTTAAGAGCACTGACTGCTCTTCCAGAGGTCCAAGGTTCAATTCCCAGCACCCTCATGGCAGCTAACAACTGTCTGTGACTCCAGTTTGAGAGGATCACGCAGATATACATGCAAACACAACACCAACGTGCGTGAAATAAAGATGGCTAACAAAAAGAAAAACCCATGTAAAGAATGAAAATAAATATAAATATTTTCTTTACTTAAAAAAACATAAATA